ATTACCTATATATTTCTCCATTAATTATTATTTTCTATAACCCTTGAATATTGTTCAAATGAAAATATAACCTTACTATTAAAATTTAAATGCTCTATTTTCTTATCACTTCTCTTCAAATCTCATGTTATACACCACGGGAATACTAATATTATTTCAAAAATAATGATGTTAATTAAACTCAAATCAGAAATAATTGATATAAAAGGAAGGTAAGTATATATTGAATTTAAATAAATATACTCTAATTTTTATTATGTATGATAATTTAAAATAATATTAACTTGTTTTTGTTATATATGTAATCATGAGAGTGATGCATAAAAAAAATACATCACTAATTGTAAAAATAATTATTGAGTAAGGAGTGAAACTAAAATGAAATAATTTTTATTCAAATTCCTATACATAATGCCAATGATGAAATCATGAAAACCTCATTTTAGGTTTTTATGGCTAAATCTTAGGTTGAAATTGTATGGGCTTGAATATAAGTTTTATTTTTAAGTTTGGTATTCCTTGCAAAACAAGTATTTTATCTTAATAAAAAACTATTTAATACTTAAGTTAGTAAATTGTAAAAGAGAAATTATGAGCAAAAAAGCAAAGAATGTTTGATATTGTATTTATAGTCCTTAGTTTGTATCAACTTACATTACGAAAAATAAAGTAATGATTAAGAATAATATTTTTATTCCTTGTAGGTAACATGAAAGTTGAGTTATTGGTTATTATACTTGAAGGTGATTGGCATGAAAGTTTGATAAAAATAGGTGCATCTTAGAATATAGATTTGCAGGAAATAACCATCACAAAAATGATAAATAAAGATAGGCATTGTACTAATATTTCATGCATAAGCACAATAAAATGTATAATTATGATAATTTTTTAAAAGCTAGTGGTTATATACATTGTGATGTGTGTTAATTATTGAGTTTTTAGTGGATTTGTATGAGAATATTTTATTTAAAGGTGGTTAGAAGAGACCTAGCTCTTAATAAATCCTTAAGCAAAAGAATAGTAAACTAGATTGCTCTAAATAGTTAAGAGCAATCCATTAAATTAGTATAGTCCTTTAGGTTGATGCAATCCTCTAGGCTACTCTAAGCATGCAAGAGTAATCCTTTGAGAGGTAGAATAGAAGAGTTGTGGAATATGAATAGTGTTTTTTCATTTCTTCTTTTATTTCTTTTTTTCTTTCCCTTTTTCTTTGTAAATTTGATTTTTATACTAGATTGAAGAATTGTATAAGAACTATAGATTGAAGTGGAGAGTCTAAAATGAAGGGAGGGGTTAATTGTTATTTTTAGATAGCGTATATGGTCCATCCTTGGTTTTGATCGTGGTCATACCTAGTGTCATTAGATTTATCTTGATAAAGTTTCTTTAATAATATAATGCATGTATTAATCAAAGCTTTTATGTGTCTCCAACATCTCACTATTTTTCTTTTTTTCTCTCTCTCTCACTTTCTCTTTCTTTCCTTTATTTTCATGTTGTTATTTCTTCTTTTCTTCATGCCTTGTCATTTTTGTTTTCTTTCCTGCATTTTTGTTATCTTTCTTTTTTTATATTGCCTCCTACCATTTAAGCTAGCCAAGGCAACAAGCATTGTCTTTTTTTTTTTTCTCATCACCAAAATGCATATCTAAAAAAAGGTTTATAGACTAATAAATCCTATGAAGTGATTTCCTTGTATCATTAATGCAATTATGTTACAATTGAATGGAGCAATGAATAATTTGATTTATTAACATATGTATCTTATATATGTGTTGTATATAAATCATTTTATTCTTATATAATGTTTCACTAACTATTTGATATATGTTTTTCAGGTCGAATAATCTTTGTTTTTTTTTTTAAAATAAATATATGGATTTATCCTACATGTTTTTTATAGAAACAAATTGAAGGATAAAATTGATAATAAAAATATTTAATTAAAAAATTAAAAAAATACCCGAAATGATCATGGTTAACTTGTCAAACAAGAGAAACCGATCATGAACCTATTGTATTTAATAATTTTTTTTATTACAAGCCAACTAGGTGCGTACAACTCTTTTTTTTTTTTTTACATCAAACATCAATTCTTTTTTCTTAAAAAAAATAAGGAGTGATGTGAGTTTTTTAAAGTTTAATAATCAAAAAGGTATTTTTTTATATAGTTAAATAAAAAACCTTTAAAAAAAAAGTATCGATGAAATGATTTATTTTTTTAAGGAATTAAAAATATATCAAATTAAGATTTTTCTAAAAAAGGCCATGCATTAAATTAAAAAATATTTTATATAAAAAATCATAAAAAAATGTTAATTTTATTTAAAAACTAATAAAAAACATTTAATAAAAAAACTAAAATTAAAGGATGACATTGGATGGAAAAAAACTAAAAGGACAAAAAAATCAATGGACCAAAGAAAAAGGGAGAGGCTTGTGGACCTAAGCTGAATTATATATATTTTTTTAATAAGCATATGGTTGCCATAAAAAAAAAAAACAAGCAATGTGTTTCCTGTTTCTTTTTAGATTCCGACCATTATAACGGTTAAAAAATTAAGGGAGGTTTGTTTTACCCTAAAAACTAAACATTCAATTTATTTTTGATCTAAAACACATTAAATACCCTTATAAACTCATCTATGATTTCAAAAAGCTATAAAAAAACCCTGTAATCAACCCAAATTCTAAAACTTCCCAAACTCAAATAGATATTTTTAGAAAATTTGAAAGTGAAAAAATACTTAAATGGAATGACTCACCAAATTGTACTCAATGACACCAAGATCGATTGTTTTGGTTGTCGGAATTTGTGTCAACAATAATTTTTTCTTTCTGATGTTGGAATCTTGTGAATTTCTCTCTCATCTCTCTAAAAAAAATTAAAAAAAAAAAAAAATAAAGTTTTGGTTTGAAATTCTAAAAATTGGGAGGATCTAATTTTTAAAATTCAAAAAGTATGAAGCTTGAATTGAGCATTTTTCCAAAAAGTTTGAAAATGCCATCTATCTTCTTTGAGCTTTTCACTTTGTTCCTTTAGCTTTCAGTTTTTACCTTCATAATTTTAGCTAAATTAGCCTTCAATTAGATCTTTAAAAAGAAATATTAAAAAAAAGAGGAAAGGAATAAAAAAAAAATCCATGCGCAAAGTAAATTTGTAATGCCCAAGAATGTATCCCTACAATGTGTGGGAGAACAAGATCCCCCCTATACCTTTTAAGATATTATTAACTAACCAATTGGCTCCCACGACCAAAAGTAAATTTTTTTTTTTTGAAAATCTAAAAAAATATCTAGGTATTGTTAATGTGTCTTCTAAAAAAGAAATAAAATTTAATAATGAATTTAAAATCAGTTGCATATTGAATGATATTTTAATGTAATATTGAGACAAAAACATATTGAATTTACCTGGACCAGCCCAGATTGACATGCAAAACTTGTGGGGGTAGTCTTGAAAAAACAATTTGAAAAACTAAATATCTAATTAACTCAATGTTGAAGGAAAGAATTGGTAAAAAATAATACTCAATTTTAAAAAAACCCAAGTGAATTCGAGTCAACCTACCAAACTTGCAACATAAGTCACACATGCCTTCATATTCAATATTTTTTTTATCACAGAGGTTATTTTTCATTTAACAAATTTATATGACAATAAAGTGAATGGATATTTTTTTTTGCAAGAAATAATTTTTTTTAAGAAAAAAAACCATTATAGGGGTGTGAGACTAAGATAGCAAAAGGAAATCAATAATAACAAATAATGAAATTGTATTTTTTTTTAGTTTTAAGTAAAATAAAAAAGAATTGATTATCGATAAAAAGGGTGGAATCATATATATTTTTTAAATTAAAAGACACAAAATGCATTAAAGAAAAATAAAAAAAAAATCACTTGGATGTTGCTGCTTAACTTGTTAAACTTATGATTGAGTCATGAAATCAACTATTTTTTTCTCTTTCTACAAATCTATATTTAACCTAAATATATATAAAAAAAAAACCCAATAGTGTTGGCTTATGGCCCAACACCTCAAGTATTTGAAAGGAAAAGCTTAGACACAACTTTAGGCATTTGAAAGGAAAAGCCTAGACATATAGGCCTTTAAGTCTAAGATCACGCACATTAACCTATTTTTCTTCTTATTTAATGGAGCAAATAAACTATTTTTGGTTCATATTTTTTGAAAAAATAATAATAGAGTAGGAGACATATAAAAAATTAAGGCTATGAGTTTTTTTACTCAAAAAACTTGTTTTAACTGTAAAATACCCTTCAAACATTTCTAAAACATTTACAAACTAAGTTGTCAACCTAATAAATACAAAAAAAAGATTCAAATCACAAAATCAAATCATATAAATTTTATCATCGTATGCTAATATCTATCTTTTAGGCAACATTAAGGCTAAAAAAACCATAATAAAATCTTCTTTACCAAATTGAACCCGTTGACACCAATTTTAACCATTTTGATGGTTAGAATAGCTGTCACTTATAACTTTTTTTTCCTACACAAAAATTTGATGAATCTCTCTCTCTCCTCTCACAAAAAAAAAGAGATATGAGGAAAATAAATTTTTTCACTAAAATTAAATTTTTAACAATTAAAAGGATTGATCACCTATTAGTTTTACAAAACTAATTTTTTTATATAAAATTCAAAATTTCCATCTATGTTTTTTGTGATTTTCACTTTGATCCTCTATTTTTTAATTTTACAAAAATAGTTTAATTGTGTAAAAACAAAATTTGAGGATCTAATTGAAAATTGATATAAAATTGACTATTCTAATATACAATATTGATAAGAGAGTACATAGTGTGCTCATTGAACTCGAAAATTGTCTCATACCTTAGGTTTTTTTAATATAATTTTTATAAAAGTATTTTTATAGGTTTTTTTTTTAATGCACAAAAACAAGGGCAAGGAAAACCTGAGGCAGATTATATGGATTTGGTAAGGGCCACTTAACAAGGCCTCTAGGATGTAAATAGCAAACCCAAACTCCAAACGCACAGGCAAAAGTCAAGGCCTTTTCACCAGAGCAAAAGACCCAAACCAAACCGAACCACACGACACAGGGCGAGCAAGCAGTGACAGCAGAGAGAAATGGGGAGGAAGAAGGGAGTGGTAGAGTTCGAGGATTCTCCTCCAGATGACTTCGATCCATCGAACCCTTACAAGGACCCAGTGGTGATGCTGGAAATGAGAGAGCATCTTGTTAGAGAGAAATGGATTGACATAGAGAAAGCCAAGATCTTGAGAGAGAAACTGCGGTGGTGCTATCGCATTGAAGGAGTCAATCATCTCCAGAAATGTCGCCATCTTGTCCAGCAGTATCTTGATTCAACTCGTGGGATCGGGTGGGGCAAGGACCAACGCCCTCCTTGTCTCCACGGTATTATCTAACGATTATTTGCCGTGTTTTGTGAGTTTGGAATGATTTTTAGGAGAAAATGATTGATTTATTCTATGGGGTTAATTTATGGGTTTTGTGAATTAGGTCCTAAAGTGGAGGCAACAGCCGAGTCTGAGTGAATCCGTTTCAGTATTTGATCTGCCTGGTTTTGTATTAAGGTACGGTTGCATTTCTAATTTACTATGTTTTAGCTGTTTAATGTGCACTATCTTTGAGTGTTTTGTGAAGGGTAATTACTTGTTTTGATCTTAGTACAGTGACAGGCCTTAATTTAGGAAAACTGGAGGCTTATTTTAGTTTGCTTTGTTATACACCGGCAATGATAGCATGTACTTTAGAATGATTGTGTATCGTTTCAGAAAGGAGTTGTTTTTTTTTTTTAAGGATTTGATATTGCTGATGACGTCTTGGTGTTGATGTTGATTATTTGTCCTTCATATAAATTTCTTCATCGAGATGGATTAATGTGTTGTCTCTTAAGTGGATTGTTTTATCTTTAGCGGTGTAGTAAAGGTTAGTGATCTTTTAATCCGGGTTCTGGGGTGATTATCTGGCTGTCTAAATATAAGGCAGCATGAAGCATGAGGCCATATAATACAATGGTAATCTTCTATGATATTTTCCCTGTTATAGTGGTTCAGAGGTCGTTAATGATGTTTGGTTTGTTGTAAGCTGGCACTGAAGTAGTATGGCTAACCTGATAAGAAGAATTGATTTTTCAATGGGTAGATCCAACTTTGTTTCATGCATGGAGACTTTTGAAAGGAAATTGAAGAGACATAATGTGGCCATGCAATGTCTGAGAAACAGCAGGGTGTATTGTTCCTTCTCAAAGGTCTTGGGTGAACAGGTCATATAGATGCTTAAAGTTATCACTTGTAGGAAATTAAGGGAAAATTAGTTATTGGCTGTCTAGGGTCAGAGAGGGGATGCATTGTGGTTGCTGAGGGTATCTGATGAGCTAAACAAAAACTGTCTTGAATTTTAATGTAATTCAGCAAAATATCTTGCTTATGCTTGCTGTTTATTTTTAACTAGATTAGGTTTTGATGTGTTACTCATAATGAGCTTAAGTATAGAACATCTGCATTTTTCAGGATTTACTGCATTTTGCAGGATTTACTGTGGACGAGGTTTTAGTTTTGCTTCATGTTGCAGGATTTATAACTCAAGTGTTTGGTTTTTGGATCTCAACGAATTTTGATTGAATAAGATCTGATTGCTCAAAATTCTTAAACGGATTTGTGTGAAATGTTCATGTTGAAGAAGAACAGTTTTGCAGATATTTATTTTTGTTGCAAAGTATGCTGTGGACATGGATCACAAAGTCTTGCTTCAAAACGAAGGAGGAATATTTCTAAGGTGGGAGTATGGAAATATATTAAAAAAGGATTGGTCTTTTCTCTTTCTGAATTTTAAAATGGGATCTAGGAAGAGATGCTTTTGTTTTTATATTTTAGAGGGTGATTTGGGAAGTCTAACGGTCTTTCCCCAAGTACTTGAACTTTTGGAGTTGGATAGGGTGAATAATTGTTTTGCTGTGCATCTCAATTAGGGAAATGTTTGTTTGAATGTTGTATTTGTCAGAACTATCATTGCCAATATCTGGAAAGCGCGAGGGTTTTCGTAGGTGTTTTAAGCTAGTTTTCTAAGAGCTCGTTTGATATTGTGGTAGCAGTTGCTTTTCAAAGTGTTTTTTGCTTGTAAATGCATTGAAATAATATTATTTTCATTTTTAAAAACTTATTTTTAATATTAGTACATCACAATGATTTGGAAAAAAAAAAAATTGAAGCAAAGAAAAAAATAAAAAATTTTCAAATTTTTTCAAAAGCATTTTTGAAATGCAAAAACAAATTGACTCTAAGTGGTTGTTAATGAGAGAGGAATGTTTTGTGTATTGGCGTCTTGTTATCATTTAAATAATAAACACCCATTTGGTTCTCTTATATAAAATTACCTTAGAGTTATCAAGCCAAAGAAAAACCCTCAAAAGATTCATGAACTGACAAAGAAAACTGCTCTTCTCACCAGATGAGAAGAATCGTTATCACCATGGAATGTCCTATGGTTGAGGTCCTTCATGCTGCATGGCATTAGATGGTTAGGTAAAATTTACTCAACAGAGCAGAAGGGTTAGTGTCTTCTTGGCAATTTTAGGTTATATGCTTTTAATTGGTGCAGGGTTTGTATAATGTCATTTGGTTGGCAATGTCTCCATTTGGAGATTTTGCTGGCATAACATTATCACAAATGCATTATCAATGATGTACATCATGCAGCCTTTTGAACTTTAACCATATAAATGGTTAAGCAAATTGTTCAAAATGCCAATATGGAAAACCCAAGATGCTGCCCTAAATTGTTGCGCAATTAGTTCTGTTTCTGTGGCTGTTTGGTTCTCTCTGGCAATATCTAGTTCTCATCATGCATCTAGGATCGTAAAAATTGTTTAAAGAGTGCAACTGTTTTTGTATCTACTTGAAACAAATTTGAATTCTTCTGATTATTTAGTTACAGGTACAGTGCTAACACTTTGCATTTTAAGATATAATACATCATTGGTCTTTTTGAAAAGTTAAGGTGGGGGTGGGGGGGGGGGGGGGTTGCTTCTTTCTTCTTTTGGAATTTGTGCATGTTATGTTTAGGTTAGACACAAAACTACTAACACTTTGTCTGAATTTGTGCTTGTAATTTTTAGGATTTGATTATATATCCAATGGTTCAAGATAATGGTGGTTATGACTTCTTGAATGTTTGTACTTGTAATGATGCAAGACAGCTTTGGGGGCTGTTCTAGATCGGAATTTCAGGGGATGTTTAGGACTATGAACAGTGACGAGAACAATGTTTTAATGGGTAGTAGGTTAAGTTTTGATAGTTAATGGCTTTAAGATTGGTTTTTGAAAGTAGGGGTCATAAGGGACTAATGTAGATTGTTCAAAGGGGTTGAGGATCATTGTAAAAACTACCAGTGTCAACTAATAGGGTTTCTTGGAGTCACACCTAAGAGAAGATTGAGTCACACAATCAAAAGCAAAGTTGTTTTGAATTATATTCATAACTGATACTCTTGAAAATAGTGCATTACATACCTTTATAGAGAGTTTCTAATAGTCAAAGTCTTACAAGAACTTGCATTCCTATATAAGAAAATACTAGTAGTCTAGATAAAACCTAATATAGGTAATTACCTTAGCTCTAATAAAATACTAATTAAATAAAAGCTAGAACTAGAAAACTTTCCAGAAAATATGGAAAAGTTAGAGGGAGGTCATGGGGAGAAATTATGTTGGCTAATGAAGAGAAATTATTGTAGATTTTAATGGTTTTAAAATTTTATTAATATTATTTACAATTCAGCAGTGAAAGCAGGTGCCATTCGAGTCTAGTTTCCTATACCTAATGGAGTTGGGTTTTTTTTTATGGTTTAATTTCTTACTCACTACCAGAACTTCTTCATTCCTTTTCCTTATGGTGCCTGCAATAGTACTTTAGTTAGACATTTAAGTTATGCTTTGCCTTCTATATTGATTGATCAAATAAATTGAGTTTTCAGAGAATTGGTTCTCGTGGACTTTTTTGGTGTTCGGATTTTAAATTCATTTTGAGGAGAAATTTCTGTAGCAATATTCAGCTGGATCATGCACAATTCCAATGTTATTAAACTGATTAAAGAGCCACCTCAATGATAGTGTAGTATACTGGTAGATGTGATGGGGTTGAGTTAGGCCTAACATTTAAAATAGGTTGATTGAATTTGATCTTGTTAATGTGAAGTGGAGTTAGAAAGGATTCTAGTTATTTGGGAGTTTTATAGAAGCTGAACGGAAAAAAAAAGCGTACAATCAAGAATAAAAGATTCCTAATTCTGAACAGAGCTCAATTAGCTGTTAATAATGTTACTGGTGCCGCTTCCTCCTGTTATTTTATTTTTTTGGTTTCATGCTCTAGTAAGGAATTTGATGCCAAATTATATGTTTTTACTTGATACATCTGTCTATTTCTCAGTTAGATGTTAGGGTGACTTTCTTCCTGTTATTTCCTTTTGTCAGTATAGACAGATGCAGCTGCTTCTTTCGAGAAATTCATCAATAATTTGCTGGTATCTGGTTTTAGTAATGAAACAATTATTAGTCTACAGTTCTACATGCTCAATGTCATGAATTTGGAAATTTTTGCATAGCATGATGCACGAAGATTTTCTTTCTTCTGGTATCCATGATGTTTTTATGCATTGGGATTAACATAATTTTACAACAGTAGGGTAAATAAACTCCCTTCTTGCAGGTGACTGATTTTGAGAGCAGGTTGGTACTTGAAGTGGAGGGAAGTTGGGCCTCTATATTAATTTAATGCGTGGCTGTTTTTCTTTATTTGACCCTTATCATCTATAGGTTTTTTTAATTGCCTTACCTGTAATGTGCAGAGGCCAGATGTTAATGGCTTTGGCTTTCACCTTCCATCGTTTTAATTGTTAGCATCAAAATCCTGCAGATGATTCAGACAGGATCAATGAATGAAAGTAATCCAGATAATGCAATAAATTTTCCTGTCATTGTGTGCCTTCGTTTAATTCTGTGATGGATTATGACCTTGTATATTGTCAAGAAGTTGCTGATTATGATGGACGAGAACGACACATTGGAATTTTTCAATCATTGGGAATTCTAGGGCCCTCTTGAGATCCAAGTTTTCACGCCCCTTTTCAACTATTGGATTGAAAGGTAGTTTGTTCTGTTAGACAGCATTACTGGACATGAATTCATAGGCGGCGGCGAGGTGGTGCCCATGGCATTGTCCAAGACTGTAACAGAGCGTTGTCTTCGTGCTGAATTCCTAAAAGCAGGATATTGAGCTTGAGGGGTGGTGCATGCTCGGTCCACGTGTTGCACCTAGGGAAAAAAAAAGCTAATAATCTCATTCTTATTGACCCTTGTTTAGACTCTATAATAAGAAACAAAAGTGAGAATGGAAGTGGTTAAACATGTTAGCAGAGCCAGTATTCCCCTGTTGGGATCTTTTTTAACAATCAAACGCCTAATTGTGGGCTATCATCTTGATTTTTGGATTTGATGTGGATGTTGAGGATGATTTGGGGGTGTGATTGTCCATGATTTGCAGTGCCTTGTGCCTTTATAAATTTTCGAACCCAAAATCAAACTGTTTCAATGTGTAAACTAGTTAGAAGAATGTTCAACACATAGATTTGCTTCCATTCTAATAGGGTTTCCATTTTGTTTTGTAACCTATAATTTGTGAACGAGAAGAAAAGGAATGATTTTATGGATCCAAACACAAGTAGAGGTACGTGGTTCAAATTGTTGGCTACATGTATTGCTTTAGTTGGCTGCAGTGAATACAGAGAGCACAACTACGCACTGTGAGCCCGCGATGGCAACGTTGAATAGGGGACATGTTTACACCATTAGCTATGTCGTCAACAATTCAAAATTTAGTAGGCAATAGTTTTTTTTCTTGGTTCAGATAATTTTTTTAACTTTATTAAATATATAAAAATACTAGAAAGTCAAAGCTTCAATGTATAATAAATAAATAATTTTTAAAATATTGAGATGATATAATAAATGAATAATTTTTAAAATATTGATATGATATATTATACAACATAATTTTTTTAAAAATATTAAAACACTAATACATTGGGTCGATTGTAATCAATTATGTTTAACCTATAAAACTCTCAATCTAGGATATAAGCTCAAGACAACACTTTAAAATCTAAATTGAAATAAATTAGAGAGCACTACTCAAATTAACTAGATATTGAAGATCTAAAATAAAAAAACAATTAAATTAAAAAAAGATCCAATAAAATAGCTTGAGTGAATCTAGAATGATGGCTTGCAATATGACACCTTTCATGCCAGTGTTTTTAAAGAAATTTTTTTTTGATACCTGGTTAATGACTTGACTAAATCCATTAAGTCGAATTAATTTAATATCATGATTTAAAAAAATAGAATTAATGATAAATAAAAGAAAGGATATGAGATAACCCATGTTATTTTTAAAATCAGTAAAAAATCATATAAAAAAAAAGAGTCCAATCTTTGAAGGATAAAAATGAAAAAA